TGAAGAAGAATCTCCAAACAGCTTGTCTTGAAAGAGTGTTATTTGTGCTTTTTTCCCAGAACCATTCTGCGATTGAATGTTGCTGCCTAGGCAGATTAACAGGTTTTGATAAAAGAAAACGGACTTCTTAAAATAAAGCTTGATGTTGCACTGGGGTAAGGATGATTTTTATCGAAAAATTTATAATCCGGCTGGTGGAAGTCCATGCCAAAAGCATCACTGGACAAAGCTTCTATTCCCCGAAAGGCCACCCCTCCAGCAAAAGAAAGTGGACTAAAATTTCTTTGCTTCTCCAATCTCATTTCCTGAAGGATCAGTGATATCGTTGTGCACGTGGCACCAGGAACCTTTGTTCAATCCCATCCCTCACTCACGTTGTGTGCCTTCAGCGCCTCCTGGTTGTTTGCTATTAGCATGGCGCCATGAAAGATGCCATAGCGATTACCCGTTGGAGTGTCCTCAAAGTCCCAAACAAACCCATCCCTTTACTGCGACAGTCCAATCTTAACGCCGGTGGATCGAGAGGGCTGCAAAGTTCTTCGACCAATGGCCCTGGGGCGATTTCGCAGCAGTGGTGACCATAGAACCTACCTGTGATAAAAAAAAAAAAAGACATTTTCATTGGCAAAAAATGATGAGTTGCCATTACCCTTGGTATTAATTATAACTCTCAATTAGTTTTAATCAATAAAGGATGTTGTTGTTGTTGTTGTTGTTGTTGTTGTTATTATTAAAGTGACTTTGGCTTTTGGTGGTGCGTAATTACAATGTTCTACTTAATTTACCTCTTAGTTTTTGTAGTGAATGCCATGAAACCCAAGTCAGTGTAATCAGACTTGCACAATGGTCAGTGGGCCGACCAGCTTGGGTTCGAAGCAAGAACGTCCAATTAAGTGGTGCCAAGCACCGACTGCAATTGGTTAGAGCGCATTACACCAGTTTTATTATCTAATTAAGGGGAAGCCTTATGCCTTGCACAATACAGTTTAGAGCCGAGGTGGTTTCCTTTTGCTTGGTTGCTACTGGTTAAAACATCACTGCGCACATACTGTTATTTTTTAAACACCTGTTTGCTGTAAGAGAAAAAAATGTATCGGTACCTATCAGGACGAGGTCTCACTACGCTCTTTAAAACTAGAAAAGTGATTCCAATTTGAAGTCAGGAATTCGAGAGCAACAGACTAGGCATTTCAATTTTCTATTCCGATTTGCAAAAACATTGGAGTAAACGTACTATGCGCATTATTTCCAGAGAACCAAGGCTGTTCCAGCATGACTTCCCATCGTAAACCCATCCATCTTCTAAGTATTTAGTGATGATAGGATCTGAAGTCTGATACAAGAGTGCAAACATCTCAGCATCTTTAGTCAAGGCCGGGATGCTTATTCCTTTTGTAGAAGTTGCAGGTGGACCCCTGGGTGGGATAAGCTGGCAAATGCATAGGCAGGAAGGATTTGTTTGAGAACTTCGCTAGAGTAGCCACGAAAGCGTCCCCCAACACTACTTGGAGTTTTCTCTAAGAGTGTGGAGAGCTCTGCATAAATTGCTTTTTGCGGCGTTTGATAAGGCGAAGTCCGTCCCTTCTAAGAGATGTTGCACTTGGGCAGCCGTGTACAACACGTGCGGTACACATGCGGGAGCGTAGAATGCAATGTAATGAAATCCAATATCATCTGGTTTGATGACGTCTTCAAATGCTTTGTTGATTGTCAAGGCGCTAACCATCCAACGTTTTAAAGCCTCCACATCGCGCTGTCTAGCTTTTATTTCGTCTGTTGTGTTAATGGGCATTGTCAACACGGTCATAAGCCGAAGTAGCATCATTGTGATCATTCGATCAGCTGTTGTTCCAATGTACTCGAATGTCGTTTGATATATCTCACCAAATTCGATATACTATTTTGCAGTATTTATTAAATTCACCAATCTGCTTTTGTTCGCATCGTCCATATGTAAAGAGTCTTTCAGCAAGAAAAGAGTATGCACAGTGTAACCAGATCCACTTCTCAACATCTTCCTAGCCAGAGAACCTATGCCACTTCCGTCTGCCCATCCTTGGTCTTCAACGTAATCCAAAAGATTAATGATCCTTTGCACACGGACCTTGTTTACATACTCTAAGGAGCTGCGTACATTAGCATGTGTGTGTGGCATACCTTGTGCTTTAAGATAGTTTTGCAATTCATTCTGTCTCGTTTTAATGCCTCCACAAATTCTCCTGAGTGATTTTTTTACACGGCAGGATCTTCGGAATTCCGAGTAAAGGGGTCTCTCTCGTCACTGTCGCGGCAACTTCGTCCCCTCGAGATCTTAAGTGAAATTCTAATGCCAAAGGTGGCACTGAGATTCTCGCCATCATAAAGCTAAACTTTCTCGTAGGATTTAAGGTAGAATAATATCTTGATCTCTTTTTATATTACATACAAGGCAAAACAATGGAGGGCCGTGTATTACTTTCTCACCGGACAACGTTTTAAACTCAAGCCTATCGTATTGAATGTGGAGAATTCAGTTGTTGACTGATTGATTGAAATAACAGAACACTAGCAAACGAAAAGAAATTAAACTGGCACATCACATGAAGAGATAAACTAAGAATAAAGCCAGGATTCGAGCCAGGATCCGAGC